CAACCAACAACTTAGTACCAAGACTGAACATGTGAATGGAGCCAAATGGATCCCTCATCACACCAGCATCATACGGAGCACCGTAAGCCCACAGAGCAGAATCAACAACATAGTCATCATCTTATGCTACTTAAGCTTCAGGGGAATTGTTTACTGAGTAATCGATAAATGGGACACTACAAAATTCAAAACTCTCTGTAGCAATCATTCCAGTGTTTTCTAATTTTGATGATCTTAAAAAAAAAAAAAGCCTCTTCCTCATATTCATCAAAATAACTCCCTCTTTTAATTCAAGGCCAGGCGGTGGTGGCTCATGCCTTTAATCCCAGCACTTGGGAGCCAGAGCCAAGTGGATCTCTGTAGGTTCGAGACCAGCCTGGTCTACAGATCGAGATCCAGGACAGGCTCCAAAGCTACACAGAGAAACCCTGTCACGAAAAAACAAAACTCCTCTTGGCAACCACACTTCTACTTGAAGATGGAAATCAAGCGATCCCTTAGCTTTTGCTTCTCTAGGCTAACAACTTTTTAACTAGTTGGACCTATTTTTCAACCTTTTATTCATCTTTTTTTTTTTTGTTTTTTTTTTGAGACAGGGTTTCTCTGTGTAGCTTTGCGCCTTTCCTGGAATTCACTTGGTAGTCCAGGCTGGCCTCGAACTCACAGAGATTCGCCTGGCTCTGCCTCCTGAGTGCTGGGATTAAAAGCGTGTGCCACCACCGCCCAACTTCATCTTTTTAGTATAAAGGAACCAAAATTGAATGTCATTAGTACCTAACAAGACATTATTTCCTAACCCCAATGGACTTTTCTATAATCTAATTTCACAGCCCAAATATGAGAGCACCAAAAAAGTTCTGACATGCTCCACAAACGTGACCACCCACTAGAATGTCTGAGGCCCTTTCTGCTCCTCACACACTTCACTCCACTTCATGCTTTCTCTCCTCACCTGGTCTCACAGCACAACGGGAAGCATGAACAAACTTGGAATCACAGCAGAAAGCCTGATGGATGGTAGCTCCGTGAAAAAGAGCACCTGCATGCTAGCACGTGAGAGACACTGGGCCCAATCCCCAGGGCATGGGCACAAGAATACATACTCACAGCCCAAGAAGTTGGAGTGGAGAGGTCTCTAACCATAATGGGGTCTTTCCATAGGGCAGAAGGCCAGATCTCATTACTCCTCCTTCTACCTTGATTATAAAGTGGCCTTGTAAAGAAATGATCCTTAGCCCCTGCCTTCTGAGCAAAGGCACCATTTATATAGAACTGGACAGGGTTTATTTAATTACAAAGAGGCCAGCTAGTTGCTTAATGCTATAAAAGAACACTCCCCCCTCCAGTTTTATGTGAATAAATGCTTCTCTATCAGTACCAGCTTTATAATCACTCGTTAAGGGGGGGGGGGGGAATAAAGCCAACCCAACACAAGGTTATTGTGTGCATCAGATAAAATGAAATACAAAAATAGTTTTGTAATGCACTATAAAAGATGTTAGGCAATGGGGCTGGAGAAATGGCTCAGTGGTTAAGATGGCTCTGATACTCTTGCAGTGGACCTGAGTTTGGTTCCCAGCACCCATATCAGACAGCTCCCAGTTGCCATTAATTCCAGTTCCATGATCTGATGCCCTCCTCTGGCCTCTGAGGGCACCAGGCATGCATGTGGTACAAACATGCAGGCAGTCAAACACACACACAAAATAAAAACACTAAGCCACATGGCGTGCAAAGATTTCAGCAAGCCCTTTAATCTTCAAATAAACTCAGAGTGACCATCTAGACTCCCGTGAAATAAACAAGCAGCCATGAGTCTGAGTTCATCCAACAGGAACCCAAGCATCCATCTAATGAGAGCATATGGATCGTCTAACAGTTAAAAGAATAATAAAGACAGTTAGAACAATGGTTTGACCCTAGGGATCCATTTCAGCCACTCTGCCTGATGTACCAGGCTCCAGACTAAGGACCAAATTCAGTCAAAGAACAAGATAACTAGAGAATGAGAGAAGACAGGGAGAAAACAATAGACAGGGCAAGGGAGAGGGAGGGAGGGCGGGAGGAGAGGGGAGAGAGAGAGTTGTGGAAACCCAAATAAGGAAGAATAATCAAACTCAGGTCAGAGACTTTATAGATGAGCAAATCTTCTGGGGATGAGACTTTGCCAGTTAGAGAAGGGGCTGCTATTAGGAACACGATCAATCCCCAATGCAGTGGATCTCAACCTTCCTAATGCTACAACCCTTTAAAACAGTTCCTCATGTTGTGGTGACCCCCGCAACCATGAAATTATTTTCGTTACTACTTCATAACTACAATTTTGCTACTGTTACGAATCATGATGTAAATATCTGTGTTTTCCAATGGCCTTAGGCAACCCCTTGTGAGAGGGATATTCAACCCCAGGGATCTCAACCCACATGCTGAGAACCACTGACCTGAAGGGATATGTCATGGCCAGGAATGGGAAATGAACAATTCAGTGAGGGTAGCTGAGGGAGACAGAGATAAGCTGTTTATCAGTAGTCATAGGATACTACCATGTCTGGAGCACTTTACAAATCACAGTAAGCAGTAATGATTGGTTTTTTTGTTTTTTGTTTTTAGACCAGGTTGGCCTTGAGCTCACAGAGATCTGCCTGCCTCTGCCTCCCAAGTGCTGGGATTAAAAGCGTGCGCCACCACCGCCCCGATGATTCTAAAGCCCAGGAATGGGAAGGTGAGGTTTGGCCTTTCAGAAGAAAAGGTTGGCAACAACATGGAGAAGATGTGAGTACACCGATACTTACATTGGAGTGGCCGAAGTCCAGCAGGGGTCTGAACAGGACTTGCACCAGATTCTCGCAGGCAAAGCCAGTCTTTGGTATGTGAAATCTTGGGAAAGGATAGTCTCTATTCGAAGGAGGTGGACCCTGTCTAAAAGTATTCACAAACAAAACTCTTACACCAGTGAGATGCTTAAAGAAAACAAAACACAGTAAAAACAAATGCCCGAGGGCTGGAGAGACAGCTTAGCAGTTAAGAGCACTTCCAAGAGGACCAGGGTTCAATTTCGAGCACCCAAACTGTGACACACAATCACCTGTAACTGCAGTTTTAGAGGATCTGATGCCCTCTTCTGGGCTCTACAGGCACCAGGCATGTACATGATGTACACACATACAGGCAAGGAAAACACCCATACACATAAAATAAAAATTAAGGGGAAAACTTTTTTGTCTAACCCCCTCCCACATACCCCCACCTCCCGCCTAGACAGGGTTCACTATGTAGCTCTGACTGTCCTGGAACTCACTCTAGACCAGGCTGGGATTGAACTCAGAGATCACATGCCTCCCAAGTGCTGGCATTAAAGGTATGCGCCACTATGCTTAGCTATGGGAAATTTTTTTTTGTTTTGTTTTTGTTTTTCGAGACAGGGTTTCTCTGTGTAGCTTTGCGCCTTTCCTGGAACTCACTTGGTAGCCCAGGCTGGCCTCGAACTCACAGAGATTCGCCGGCCTCTGCCTCCCGAGTGCTGGGGGAAATTTTTTTTAAATGTCCACTCATCTGTAATATAATGACTAAGGATGAAGGAAAGCCATATGAACAGTACTCCAATATAGTCATCAGTACTTAGCAACCACAGGTCTACCACATTTAGAGGATGCGAACATAAAAATGAATGAAAAGGAAGATTTTAATAAAAAGGAAGGTATAATTAACAAAGTTCCACCATACAGCAATATACATAGATAGCATGTAAGAAGGTGAGAATGAGTTCAGTTGTGTATACGTTGAGTTTTAGATGCTTTTGATAGCCAGGGCCTTGGCTGTGTCTCACATACACGAAGGACAGTCATTGAGGTTTGTCCAATTGCCAGTAAGGCTCATGTCTGAGAAACACTGCTGGGCTAGTAAGATATAACAAGGGTAGCTGAATTGATGAGCATATTTGAAGGTCTCAGAGGGAAGGGAAGATGGCAAAGCCTTGAACACCTCAACATTTGTGAGGCAGCGAAAAGAAAATGAGAAAAAAATCACAGAGGACCCTGGTAGAGAAAAACGAAGACAGCCGGGAGACTGGCTCAGCGTGTGACTGCCAGGCAGAGATGGGAGACAGCGGGAAGAGGGGTGTGCACGCAGGGTGGGAGGGCATCAGTAAGCAGGGGCTCCCTGCTGAACTTCAGGGAAGCATGAGCAGGCTATTAGGTGTGGAATGACAAAGGTCAGAACTGAGAAAGTTCAGTGCAGGCTTTTCCACACTCTGCCTTTACTGAAAACCAAGTACCATAGACACACAGTACAGAACAAATGAGATTCTCACATGCCCATTCCACGGCTGGGACAAACAGCACACTCTCTGACGGAGCCTCACCCCGCCTTGGAAAGTAAGCAGAGGCATTGAAGAAGGGACTTCTATATACTAATCAGCTGGCCAGGTGTTTAAGAGAAGGCCCACGTGTACAATGCCTGGGAGGAAGGAGAATGTCGAGAGAGACGACAGTGTCACTCCAGCTAAACAGGTAAAAAGCTTAGAGGCCAAAACCAGAAAAGCGATGGGCAGGGATCTGAACAAAAGCAGGAATGAGAGGGGGATGTTCTTCACAACCCTCAGAGAAAGGATGGCGGGCACGAAGCGGCCGTTACCAGCGTCCCAGTTCAGCGACCAGTTACTAGGGAGGGAGGGAGGCAAACGTGCCCGCCTTACTTTCACCGTGACTTAGCTTGATCAAACTGTTTCTCATAAGACACAAACAGAACAGGAAAAAAAGGAGACAAAATATGAGCAAAGCTGCATACCTTTTATACAATCACTGGTCTGCTCAGGTCTAAAACACCCAGGTCCCCAAAGAAAGGCAATCTGTCCCCTTAAGGACCACTTCAAAGAATGGAAGAGCTGGCTGTAGACTCCCATACTGAGAAGCCATGTTTCACGTCTGAAGGCTAAGGGCTTTCTGGTTTCTACTGCCAGCTTAGTCTGGCTTTAGGAAACCAAAAAAACCATCTGGGGTTACCTGCTTTTGCCTGTCTCAAAACTGCCACAGCAGACAGCAGGCTGTCCAAGGTAGCTGCGGCTGAGATCGCTGGAGCCATGTTCTGATGAGATCATCTCAGGGGCCAACAGCAGCTGCTTTCAGGCACAGTGAATGGTGCCGCCTGGGGACGGACCTTTGGTAAGCAACACTGCAACAGAGCTTAGGCTTTACCCAGGACAGTGCTGACTCATGCGAGCAAAACTCCTATTTCCCAAACAATCCGTCCTCAGCAGCAGCAATCAACGGCAGCCTAACAAAGAGGCACTCCACTGATTGTCTTCAATCACGGGCGATTTACCTGGGTGGCAGGTAAAGCCCATTTCTCCCCCAGCTGCTAGAGCCCTTACCTGGAAAGCTCTGGTGGCCAGTTTCTGAAATTTCATCTCAGAACAGCCTCAGGCTCTCCACAGCCAGGTGCGGCAGGTAGCAGGCTCACAGCTCAGAAGATTTTCCCAGGAGGGTGATACAAATGTTGCTTTGCCTTTAGTTATAAAAGGGAACACTTGGGTCAGTGGACTGGGAGAACTAGTGGAGTCACTCCGGGCTGGTGGAATCCTATTGGTGAATTTTTATCAGTTCTAACCAGGCTCACTTCTTTTCCCACTCAGCCTCCTCTGACCTCTACTTCCTTAGACAACTAGACTTCTCTCATGAAAACAGAAGTAGCAGGATTCTTCTTTTCTAGTTGTCACATGCTAAAGCTAAGTCATCTACCATCCATCCTATCTTTGGATGCCTAAGGAACATAGGAGGCTGCCTTAACATTTGCCCTTAGAAAGCAAAGTCCCTAAGTGTATATCAATTCTTTCTTATTAGCCTGTTTATTTAAAAATCAATTTGCGAATGACGGCTCATCAAGAGCTAGTCATTATTATTGAACTAGCCCTGACAGGCTAGAATTAGTATTGGTGTTATACAAAGAAAACAGAGATCAAGTCTTGCGCTCCAGGTGCTTTAATATGTGTGGGGGTGTTTGCCTGCATGTACGTTTGTGCACCACACTGGCACATGATGCCTGAGGAGGACAGAAGAGGCTATCAGAGCCTCTGGGACTAGAGTTACAGATGGCCGTGAGCTGCCATGTAGGTGCTAGGAACAGAACCCTCTGGAAAAGGAACCACAGATCTTAACCACTGAGCCATCTCTCCAGCCTCTGAATGCTTTTAATTTGACAAGAGAGAAAATGATGAAATCCTTCTATGGTGAAGACATGCGAGTGTTCCCCTCAAACCCACCATTATTTCTCAACAAGGGCATTCAAGGCCACCACACTTGGTCTCCTCCATCTTTCAAGGTAGTTTTCAGATAGCATGAACTCTAGGTGGAGCTGCCAACACAGGCTGCCAGTCAGTAAATGCTAGGCAAATTAAAATGTACAGGCCAACCTGGCAGTGGTGGTACACGACTTTAATCCCAGCACTCTGAAGGGAGAGGCAGGATCCCTGTGAGTTCGAGGCCAGCCTGGTCTACAAAGTGAGTTCCAGGACAGCTAGAACTACTTAGCTGTCTACCTAGCTGTGAGACCCTGTCTCAAAACAAAATATCAACAACAAAAAAGCTCCAACAAACAGAAGTACACGCAGACAGAACTTGGGTTTAAAAACTATGCTCCTTCATTCCCTTCCAACAAACGAGTTGTTTCATCCCACTCGCCCAATTCTTCATAACTACACAGTTCCAGGAGGACAGCCACTGTGGAGGAGGAAGGTATTATAAACGCCCCCTGGTTTTTCTCCCAGTCAGTGTTTCCTATTCGGAAAATGGCAGTACTTACAGACAAGTCTCCCTGCAATGTGTGTTAATTAGTCCTTTTCAAAGGATAAAACATCTCTTTAGCAGCTGACAACCATTATCTCATGAACCACACTTCAGAAAACCCTTCTGTAGTTGTTGATAAGCCACACAGTCTAATATAAGACAAACTCGAGGTCCACACACACAGAGCCTCCTTTGGAAAAAGCTGTGGGGTTGTTACAAAAGCTACTGGCTCCTTCTACACTGGTAAGCTTTTAGGGTGAGAAAAATCTAGGCAGTGCAGTGCGCTAGGAGTCGGTGTGAATCATACCAAGGACTACTCAGGACCAGAAACATCTGAACTCCTCAATCCGCTAAGATACCGTTCAGTTACGCAGGGCTATCATTCCCCTCTCTGAGATTCTGATAGCCATACTCTACCCCAGTACCTCCTTTTAGACTGGAAAAAGTAAGAGCTTATAAAAGTTACTAAATTTGAACTAATGGCTTAAGGCATTTGAGACTTTATGAGATTATGTAAAAAATTACGAGACTATGTAGAAACAAGGAAAACAGATTAGTCATGCCATTAAGTTCTTTCAATCTTAAAACTTAAGCAACCTGCCACCCAAAACTATTAATAGGTTTATTGCTGTTTTTGTTTTGTTTTGTTTTTTAGTGAGTAGTTGCAGAGTATATATGTACATATAAAAAAATAAATGGGCTGAGTGTGGTGGCTCATGTCTGTAATCCCAGCATCTGGGAGGCTGAGACAGGACATGATTATGAGGCCATCCTGGATGGGGACATAGTAAGTTGCAGGCCAACATTAGATTTAGATTTCCCCCCCCCCCTCACTCACACACACACACACACACACACACACACACACACCATGGAGATGGGTCAGTGGGTCAAAGTACTTGCTGTGCACGATGGACCAGCTGAGCTCTACCCCCAGAGGCAGTGGACATATCTGTATTCTCAGCACTCAAAGGCAGGAATGGAAGAGCAGGCAGGACAATCAGCTGGAGAACCAACTCCCAAGAAGTTGCTATCTGATTTCCCTCTCCCCCCCGCCACACACACACATTGAAAATTAAAAATATAAGCCGGGCGGTGGTGGCGCACGCCTTTAGTCCCAGCACTCGGGAGGCAGAGCCAGGCGGATCTCTGTGAGTTCGAGGCCAGCCTGGGCTACCAAGTGAGTCCCAGGAAAGGCGCAAAGCTACACAGAGAAACCCTGTCTCGAAAAACCAAAAAAAAAAAAAAAAGAAAATTAAAAATATAAAACTCACATATATCTCAAACATTGTTTTACTTGGATGTTGAAAAAAAAAGGATATGACTTTTTTTTTCCTGCAATAGAGCCTAATAGTACAAACAACTATGAAAAAATAAATAAATATTCATTCCTCAAGATTGTTTAGACCATATAAAATTAGCAGATAAACAAAAAGAGGTCAGAGGACAACACGTTCAGGGAGAGAGCTACAATGGGAACCGGGATCAAAAAGCCATTTTTAACATTATTAGTAAATTTTTTTTGAGAGAGTTTCGTATGTAGCATGGACAGGCTTCACACAAATGACTGTCCTCTCTCCACCTCCTGAATGCTGAGATTGTAGGCATGCCCACCACACTCAGTACATTTCTTCTTTTTATAAAATTAATCTTACATCGACATCCTATTGAGAGTGAATCAATAAAACCCAAATTTCCAAGAACCAGTGGCTGCCCTAGACACTGACAAATTCTAATCCTTGGTGAGGAGGGCTCTTATTGCCCCAACATAACTTTTTTTTTTTTAAAGATTTGTTTTTAATTATGCATGTGTGGGAGGGGGTATGTGTATATAAATGCCCATGGAGGCCAGAAGAGATAAAGCTACAGGTGATGTGAGTGCTAGGACTCAAACTCAGGTCTTCTACAAAAGTAATAGTGCTTTTTTGGGGTGGGTGGTTCAAGACAGGGTTTCTCTGTGTAACATTCCTGGCTGTCCTGGAACTCACTCTGTAGACCAGGCTGGCCTCGAACTCAGAGATCCACCTGCCTCTGCCTCTTGAATGTTGGGATAAAAGACGTGAACCTCCACCACCTGACATAATAGTGCTCTTAACCACTGAGCCATCTCCCCACCTATAAATAAACAAGAGTACCTACTATTTAATAAAAATAATATGAGTGCCACACAAACATCTATCATCTAATCACAGAAATTAAGCAGGAAAATGAAGTAAGCTTTAGGGTACTCAAGAATCAACTCTAGTGTGGCTTAAGAACCAAGAAGAGTGCTTAGGAAAACCAATCATTTCCATCCTGTCCCTCCGCTGTTCTGAATGAACAGAAGTGGAGGGGCACCCCAAAATCTGAATTTTAAATCAGCTTCTCCCTCTCTAGGAGGTTTAGACATGAACCAGCCTGGAATAGTGCCTGGAGGTTACTGCTATGAACCTGAAGCATGCACAGAGTAAAAATGAGGTGTTTTTTCAAAGACCATCAAGTTGAACAGTAGTCACAGGTCCTCAACATCAGTCCTCTTACAAACAAGAATCACACAGACTATAACTGAACTGTTACTTATTTTCTTGGTTGCGCCATTATTTCTCTCAAGTCTCCAAAAGACAATTATTCTAACTACTCTTCACCTGCAGTCTGGTTACACCAGGCTGCTTTCACACCTGGGATGCAGCACAAGGGACTTCATGGACTTTTATTGCTGAGAAAATTCAAGTTCACTTGACTCCACACAGAACAGTCAAATGAAACAAAGGAGAATGCCTCCCCCGTGGGGACAGGTTGAAAGTTGAGGCTTTTGACTTCCTGATGAGGCAGTTTTCCCAGAAATCCAAACCATGGGATGCTATAGAGCTCATATGTCTTGAGAGCCCAAATGTCAACTTATCGCCACAGTATCAGGCAGTGCAGCTCACTGTAACATTTGGAAGCACAAACCTGCTGTATAAAATGGCCTCTCCTGGGAGAGAGAAGCTGTCGCCATAGCAGAGATCATTCCATCTTGGGGCCAGAAGGACCAGGCAGTCCTTTAATCTTTAACGAGCCACGTTCATGTTTAGATACAGGGACTGGCACAGCTGAGGCTCAAGCTGCTCTTTGGTTCAACAGCACTTCCCGGCAAACGACCTCAAGCAGAATGAGGGTGCGCCACCCCAGCCTTTCCTCCCCTCAGCCCCCATAGCTACCAGAATCTGTTCAATAATGTAATTGTGGGCACTTTATTATCCACTATGGTCCAATACTTCATAGCTCAGGAAAGGTATCCAATATCAAGAGGCGAGCAACCACCTGCCTTAGCCACAGTAAAATCTAAATTCCTGTATGTCAGTAATTGAAAATGTAGCAAGCATGCAGCAAGAGAAGAAGTTGAAGCTGTCAGGACACAGTCTGAGGTCCTGATGATGGGACTGGGAGAAAGGCCGTCATTGATGATGTGATCAAATTGCTGTCTTGGGCAGCTCATTTCAGAACCTAGCAATGGAAATCTTGGAGCCATTTGTGGGTATAATTTTCTATACAGGGCTATTTCTTAGCTCTCTTCCTGAGCTGCTCATACAGAAAAGGGGCAGGGAAGAAGCCCCTGTCATCAAACTCCACCACCCAAACAATCTAATGGCTGCATAATGAAGTGACTATGAGGCTCTTGTCCTATTACTTGTCTTACCCCAGTAACCTTCCTCTCAGAGCAAAGTAACTCAATGCTGGACCATCTGAATTTGTAATACCTTACCATACACCTCTTTGCCTCCCAAAATGACATCACTCTGCCCCCCCACACACACAGAGTCACACTCTCTCACATACACACACACACACACACACTCACAATGTCTCCCCGCCCCCCCTCCCAATATACACACCCTGTCTCATTAAGTCAAACTTCCTAAACTTTCACTCTGGTTTCCACTAAAAATTCAAAGGACTGAGTTACCTTTGTTCACATCTCCAAGTCTAGAGGGCCTTTGTCAACACATACTTCATCTTTAAGGGTGACTTCTAGCCAAGTAGACATAGTTACCTGCTCTCCTACAGTTAACCATCAAACTGACTTCTGTGGGCTATGGAAATGAAAAGATACGACGGCGCAGCTTGAATGTCTCATCAAAGTAACCAAAGTACCGGAAGAGGGAGAGAAGACAGAAGGAATGATTTCAAAACAAAGACTGGCCGGGCGGTGGTGGCTCACACCTTTAATCCCAGCACTCGGGAGGCAGAGGCAGGTGGATCTCTGTGAGTTCGAGGCCAGCCTGGACTACCAAGTGAGTTCCAGGAAAGGCGCAAAACTACACAGAGAAACCCTGTCTTAAAAAATCAAAAAAGACTGAGCTGTACATTTTGGGAGCAGTAAGAAAACACACCATCTGACTAAGCAGCTGAGAGGACAAATACCCAAAGGACTGCACATTCTCTGAAGATGACGGTACTCACAGTCCCCACCTCCCCAAGGTTCAGCAAGAGAGCTCATCACAAATGAGACTTGCATTATTTATAATAAAGCAAAAACACAGCCTAACATCCAGATTCTATTGATTTATGGGCAAATAAAGCTACAGCCTTATTTCAATTCAAGCCCATATAACAAGGAATAAAACTTATCTTCTTTGGGTCCTTAAAGGTAGGGGAAGGAGAAATGGGGAGAAGGTGATAAATGGCTGCTAAACTACAGTTAGATAGGAGCAAGAGGCGTGGTGACTGGACATAATGATGACATAATATACTATGTACTTCCGAAAGCTGGAGAGTTTGATCCTGTTTTCCATAAAGAAAAGATAAATGTTTGCGAAGACAGACATGACGGAAAACATTACACAGTGTATATACATTTTGAAACAGCAAAAGGCACTCCATAAATATGTACAATTTTATGATTAGGTCTCAGTTTAAAAGATAAATTTAAAACTGGCATCTTTCTAAAAAGGTACCTCTCCCATCCCTTGTATAACAGGACATGAGTTACAGGAAGAAAGTTTACCCTCTAACATAGTGCTTTAAAAAACTTTACAAGGAAAATTATCACCATAATATACTAGCCATCAGGAGAAAACACTGTGACTGGCAGGTGAGAATGCATGCAGACATGGAGCTTATGGTGGTCACACTGACACACACATACATAGCAGGGAGAAATGTAACTAACAAGTCTACAACCACTTCAGTTACTTCGGGCAGGGGTGGAAGTTGGCCTTCTATCTATGTGCAATTTGTGCTACTGCAGTATTCCTAAATAAGCAACTTAAATCACTTGACCTTAAGGTTTCTAAAACTACTTGACAAAGAAAACAATTTGAACTGTTTTTATTTGTAGCCAAATTTTGAGGGTATATTCACAGAGGCAGATGTTTAAGAAGTCACCAGAAACTTGCAGCCTGGGATGTACGCTCATAGGCAGCACTGTGCTAACAGCAGCGAGAGAGTGAGCACATCTTGGTTCCAACTCACAGCACCCAGCAGCAGGTTCTACAGTGAGTCACCAGACCTCCGCCACAGTGCACAGAAGCAGAATCATAAGGAGGGCTAAAAACACACCCCCCAAAACCTGTCTTTGTTGGCCAAGTCAATTTACCTAGTAATCTGATGGATTTAAAAACAAACAGCCCGGGGCTAGGAATACAACAATGGCAGGAAGTTTGCCCAGGTTGTAGGAGTTCAAACAAACAGAAAAAACCCAACCAAAACAAAAGGCTGGAGGCCAGCCTGGGCAATACAACAAAGCCATACTTGAAAACAATAAAGAAAAATAAATCTGACCACACACTCACCATAAGGCCCATCAGTTGCATTCCTGGGCACTGAACCCAGTGAAATTAAAACT